CTGAAAACAAATTACTAAATGCCACTGACATTATACTTAAGTTCCATCTACTTTCAAGCTTATATTGACTATTCCAAAGCTAAAATGAACCCAGAGAGAAACCAAAATTTTTAAAAACGGTAGACTATGCTTTGGTTATTCTCATCCCTTGGGCTCTGTTCCCACTGCTTTTGGAAGTTGTTTAGTTGCCAAGACCTAGGTGGAGTTTGTTATAAAGATAATGAGGTAGCCAAATTATAATAATATATGCTTTTAATACAATAATTTCATACCTTTTAGTAATTTCAAGTCTGTAAGCACTTTACCAAAGAAAATCCAAAAACACATTTGAAATTTAAAGCTATTGTTTTATAAATTTTAATAGTACTAACATCTTTATGCTTCAAACTGCTGGTAAGTTATACTGAAGTAGAGGACTGGGGACAAATTTAATTATTTTAGCCTATCATTATTCAAATATTAACTGTTTTTGTTTTTGTTTTGAGACATAGTCTCACTCTGTCACCCAGGCTGGAGTGCAGTGGTACCATCTCAGCACACTGAAACCTCCACCTCCTGGGTTCAAATGATTCTCCTCCTTCAGCCTCCTGAGTAGCTGGAATTACAGATGTGCACCACCACATTTAGGTGATTTTTGTATTTTTAGTAGAGACAGGAATTCCCCATGTTGGCCAGGCTGGTCTTGAACTCATAGCCTCATGTAATCTGCCCCCTGAGTCTCCCAAAGTGTTGGGATTACAGGTGTGAGCCACCAGACCCAGCCAATATCAACATTTTAAAATGTGATATTACAAAAAATAAAACTTAGTTGTTTTCTAAGAACGGATACCATAATGAGAAATAGGAAAAGACAGCATGATAAAAACTAATGGAAGAGAAAGGCTTAAGATAGTAAGTGTGGAATACTGAAGTTTAGTTTAAAGAGAACTAAAATAGGACAATAGACTTGGGAGTTTAAAAAAGTCCGGTACAGTAATACAGGAGTTGACCAGAATGCATTCTCATGAGAGTGAACAGAGGTAATTAAGTAGATTATGGAGTTTAAGCTATTATTTCAGGAATACTAGAAATAAATGGAAGAAAAGGTTTAATGGAAATATGCAGTGGAGTTTTCTTTTTTGGATACAGGAGACTTAAACATCTTTGTAGGCAGAGAAAGAGGTCAATGGAGATAAGCAATGTGTCAAGAGAATGAGATCCAAGAATAAGTGGAAGGAGTAGCCTTGGAAAAAAGAAAAGCCACCTCCTATTTAGAGAAAATTAAGAGACTAAAATGAACGGGGACTTTGATAATTTAAAAGTTCCTTGTTTACCTACTAGCCCTACTATAACCGCCAAATAAAACAATTAAGACCAAGTGACCTCAAAAACAATGAAATATCAGTATCAACTGTGATTATAATACTGATATTCCTATATTATTACTGTGAATTCCGCCATTAAAAAATCATGACCAGGCCAGCTGCAGTGGCTCACATCTGTAATCCCAGCACTTTGGGAGGCCTCAGTGAGCAGATCACTTGAGGTCACATGTTCAAGACCAGCCCAGCCAACATGGTGCAACCCCATCTCTACTAAAAATACAAAAATTAGCTGAGCATGGTAGTTCATGCCTGTAAACCCAGCTACTTGCAAGGCTGAGGCAGGAGAATTGCTTGAATCCAGGAGGGTAAGATTGCAGTGAGCCGAGATCATGCCACTGCACTCCAGACTGGGCAACAAAGCAAGTCTCTGACTCAAAAAATAGTAGTAATAATAATAATAATAATAACAACATGACCAATTAGCACAAAGAGCAAAGCCCAAATACCTTATTACTATTGGGTTATATTAAAGGCATTAGGACCCAAGGTGGAATTGTTTCTCTTGGAAAGGGTACAAAAGTCAGTATCAAATAATAGTACAATAAAAATTCAAATGAAATATTGAATTGTTTCTACAAATAATGAAGTCAAGGCTGAAAACAAGTCTTTGTTGTATAATCTGGTCTTATATCCTGAGTTTCTGGCACAAAGCCTCAAAAACCCTTGGAGTTTCTTTTGTTATGCTAATGTAGTAACTCAGTGCACATCCCTAGATAGCTTGAGGATGAAGGCTTATCACCATAAAGACCAACATTAACTAGAGGGCTAAGACTTTGAGCCAGGCCCATTTCTAAGGAGGGAAGGGAGGCTGGAGATTTTGAATTTTGAGTCCAATCACCCAGTCAATGATTTAATCATCAAGCCCATGTATGCCACGTCCCAACAAAAACTCTGGACACCAAAGCCACAACAGGGTGGAGCTCCCTGGCTGGTTAACTCATTGATGTGCAGAGGGAGTGACATGCCCTAATTCCATGAAGAGAGGGCACAGGAGCTCTGCATCTCCTCCCAGACCACGTCCTGTGTGTCTTCATTTCGCTGGTCCTCCTAATCTGTATTCCTGGATAACAAAACTATAATAATAAGCACAGCACTTTCTTGAGTTCTATCAGCTGTTCTACTGAATTATCAAACCTGAGGATGTTGTGAGGACCTCCAAATTTATAGTCAGGTCAAAAGGTCAGTCAAAAGTGTGGATGGCCTGGGGACACATGAAGTGTAGCTGGCATCTGAAGTAAAGATAGTCCTGTGGAAAAGTGACCCTTTAACTTGCAGAATCTGACACTAACCACCAGGTTAGAGTCAATTGGGAGTGAAACAAAATGTCTTCAAGCCAGCAAAGTAGCATTGATATTAAAAAAAATAGTCATGGACATTTCTTTCATGGAAGTTAGGTTATTTGTATAGATAATGATTTAAGGTAGTCTATTAACTCATAAAATGTCCATGGTTCTGTTTCTTCAATCAAGGAAATAAAATAACCAGAAGGGACTGTCAATTATGTGACACCCTTACCTGTTCTGTTCCTATCTACTGCCACATTTTAAGAGGGCCATCTATAAACCTACCAGCAAGTGACCTGTTCCTATTTGGGAAGGAATTCTGCCTTTTCCAGTAAATGGTAAGATAACATTTCCCACTGATTTTCAGAGGGAAATGCCAATTTGTGTATGATTTTCTACTACTATTGGTGGCTATGACTTATCTAATGAAAAGATAGCTATTATCAATCCAAAGATCTTCGACTTCTTGTTAAAAATAAATAATAAACATATTCTTACGCAAAAAAATTACACACTTAACATTTCATGTTGCAAAAGTAACATCACAAGTATTTGTCAAATTAGTCCTATAACAAGATAAAATAAAACTTTAGAGAAAAAGTTTAAACACCTAGTATAGGATAAGTGAGATATCATAAAAATAAGAGTTCCACAAATTAATTCTTTGAGTTTGTCATCTAATTGAGATGAAATATATATATGTAATATATATATGAAATGATTCTTAAGCAACAGGTTTTTAACATCAAAAAAGAGTACAAACTAAGGACACAATGGCTGATTAAATAATCAGAAACCAATAAAGTTACTGAAAAAACATTAAGTTTTCCACTTGATACAAAGGTTTGCAGTAGCCATTGGCATATAATGTAGCTCAATTTGTGGTCAGTAAAACCATTATTTCATGTCCAGGAGTTTTCCAGCATGGATTTCCAAATGGATAATTTATTGTATCTATGCTTAAGGAAAGTTATTTTTATATTTAAATTTGATGCAACTTACCTTAAAAATTCTAAGGCAACATCTTCACCTATAACTTGCAGGTAAATCTGCAGTATCTACATACAACCTCTGCTCACATCTCACATTTTCATATGCCTGAACATTATTACTACTAATTTCAGAATATATTAAGAGAAATTCCAGAAGCTCTCTAGAATGTTTACAAAAGAATGGAAACAGGTTCGGGATCGAGGTCAAAGAGGATTAGGCCTCTTGAGAGAATAAGTTATACAGGTGTTACAAAAATGAAGAATCATGAAGAAATAGGCTGACACAAAGAAACACGAGAAATCATCAAAACTAACAAAAGTAAATGGAAAACAACTAAAATCTATCCAAGAATGTAATACAGAATCACAAAAAGATTTCAACTTCCTAAAAGTCGTAAACCATAATAGACCTTATCAAACTGTTCCTATAAAAGTGTTTCTAAAACACCAAGAACTTCATGAAGTCTCAAACAAAAACTGCTTCTAACAGTAAACATAGATTACTTTGAAGAAAAATGAAGTCATTGATAGCAATACAAAATGTGGGAAAGCTGAAAACTAAAGGGATTTTAAAAGGGGCTATAAAAATATTTCTAATATTTGGTCATAAAACAATACATCGCATACATAAAAGTCTGAGGAAGGGAAAAACAGTCATTTCTTTTATTAATTAGCATTAAGTCAATGTACGATTTGCAAAGATCAAAAGTGTAGAACTCACAAGAGGCAGGAATTCTTGACCTGAAAGCAGATAGACTATCCTGAGGCAGAATCTAGAGGTCATTTGCCCAACAGCAAATGAAACAAGACAAACAATATTAAAACAACTGAAAGCTTATTTAAATTTTTAAAAGATTATAAAAGAAACCATTTATACCAAATTTAAAGGAAAGGAGAGAGATTACTTATTAATCTATCTATCATAATTACTAGCAGAAATTTGCCAATATTAAGACTGTACACACAAACATTCTAAGGGTCAGTTTTCTGGATCTGGCAAACAGGATGACACGCTTACTTTTTCTGGTGTTATATCTAAAGTTTACATTGTAAATTCAGTAAAAAAGCTATTTTGAGGATTTCTTTTCCCTAAAAGACAACTTTGATAATCTCACATATCTCAAAATTTTAAACAAAGCAAATATCAGAAAATTCTTATTCCCAGGAGAAAAGTAAACTAAGACAATAAATGTTTTCCACATGTTATCTACTGTTGCAAGATAGCAAACATCAATAAGGTAAGCTTCTTACCATAAAGTTATGTTAGGTGATTTTCTTGGGGGTAATTTCTTTCTCTTTGGATAACTACAAAAAGGCTGTAGTTTACACACAAGGAAATACTCAAGAGACTATATACTAACCTGGCCCAGTCCAGGCATACCTCCTCCAAGTCTAAGAAGTCTGTCCATATTTCTAGAAAACAGAAACAAAGAAAAAACGTTCCTAAGCACAAAAGTGTTTACTCAATTGCTATCTATATAATTCACCTTCAGTCACTCAGTATGTCAAAAATATTGGTGGTAATTACAACACAACATCAGACTTCCTGTTAATTAACACCACATATTAATTCAAAAAGCTGTCTTCAATGCTAATTAACAGACCTTATTTTACTGCTTTGGTTTTGGGTTATCCCCAGTTTTAAAGACAAGCAATCTTAGCATACTTTCAAAACTTTGCTATCATTAATTATATTTTCTTATTGTTATCTAATAAAGTACCTTAATGCAGAAAAATTGCATGAAATGCTTATCATATGTATGATTGAATTTCCTTCAATTTGTCCAGAGTGTACAAATAAAAATCCTCACTTTTAAATTAAATTTTAACATACTCATTAGTAAGTTCTGTGCTAATTAACTTACAGCTTGTCAGTTATCATCAAAACTGCATGTGAAAGACATTGTGAGCAGATTATGGATCTCTGAATTAGCATCAAAGGCTTTTAAAAACTGAACTCATTATACTAAAAGAAATACTATAGGGTAAACATTAAATGTATTAAGATAGTGTTCTAGAACCTACACAGATATTTTGTGTTATTTCAGATGTTGTAGAGATATACACCTTTTTCACTAAGGAAATTCAACTGGGCTTCTCAATTATAATTTTGGAATTAACCAATACAAAGTGGATTTATTATATCAATCTGATTTAGTTTTAAGGTTTAGAGTAACTACAGAAGATATTCTTACAATCTTGAAAACGTCACAGAAGAAATTAATACTATCAAGTGTACTTACATGGCCTCAAATAACAAAAAGAAGTAATCAAACTTTAAAAATTAATAGCAGGACAACTAAGTAATTTAAAAATGACAATAAAGAATTTTTTCTACTGGAAAATTGCCATGTCCTAAATTCCTCTTCTTCCTAAGTGTATGCTTTAGAAAATGGTATTACTACAAATTATATTCCAAATTAAATGTTAACAGATTAACATTATTTTACTAGTTAGAATTGCTATATAAACTAAAACTCAATAACGTATTTAGGCTTACTACATTACCCTCCCATCCCCAATCAACTTTGTTGAATATTGGTAATAATTTAACAATGTTAATATTGCAAACTTGATTCAAGTTCACATACAGAAAAAAACTTTATTCAAGTGCACATACAGAAAAGAACACAAATGGAATCTTCAAAATGAACACATCCATGTAACCATTACCTAGTTCAAGAAACAGAACATGACTGGCATCTCAGAAACGCCACCTAAGCCTGACTTCCAGTCTATTCCACCCTGCAAACGTAAAATTCAACTTTCAACAACATAGATTAGTTCTGCTCTTTTTGAATTTTATGTAAATGAAATAGTATATTTTTCATGTCTGGCTTGTTTCATGTAACATGTTTATGGGATTCACAATTTTAAAAATTCATTTTGTAAAATGAAAATGCACATAAAAAGTGGTAGTCCAGTCAAAATTTCCACTTTACAGTCTTAACTCATCCTCCTAATAGCAACATTTACAAATAAAATCTCCATCAAATACTCACTGAAATTCCTCAACTCAAATATGGCATTCAACACACAGCACTTTTAAATGCCGAAGAACAGGTGGGAAAAATCCTGTATATTTTATAATATTCAATCATTTCTCTAGGATATATTATCAAAAAAAATTCTTTTGGACCATTTCAAGCTTACAAACTTAAAGAACCAACAGAAAAAACAAACAACATACAATATATATTAGCATACATATATTCTAGGCCAAAACTGATTCCCAGCTGTATTCAGTTTATCTAGCCCTCTATTTTGTTTCTGATGACTTTACACAGACTCCAGATGCTGTGAATATACATGAGTGATGCAAGGAGCAGAGAGAAAGAAAATCTGGCAGATCAAATTTGTTTCCGTAGCGAAATTAGATGTCTCAGCAAAAAGGAAATATATTTAACAAATTAAAACATTTAAGATAACCAGGTTTAATAAAAATAATTTGGGAATTAAGTATATTGGTACATATTCCAAATCACACCACTTTTCAAAATCTGGTTATTTATCACACATATTCATAATTTGACCTCTGTTAAAAGTAATACATTTTCATACTACCTCTCTATCCGTCCCTAAAAGAGTAATTAAAAGTAAAATACATTTTAAACCTTACCTGGTCAGTAACTGCAACTCTTAAGGTGTTAACTTTCAATTTGTTGAATTTGACAAATTGCTTCTTAAAGAAAGCCCTTGCTAATTCTGGCAGGTACAATTTCCCCAAGTATATATTTTTTTCTCTCCTATAAAAGGTAAACAAAATATGATATAATTATTTTGATAATCTAACGGGGAAAACTTTATACCAAAACCTTTAAAAGAATCAAAATTCCTAAAAATGAAGTAGAAATTAAAACTCTTTTTAAGTAATCATTTCCTGAGAGTTTAGAATGATCTACCTTACTGGGAGTTACAGAGCATAGTGATTAACCCTGTATCCAAATTTTATCTGTATGTTTCTTTCATGAACACTAATTTTGAACAGACATTTCAAAATTTTTAGACTTTCCAGGCATCTTCCAAAGAACAAAATAGACCAGGCGTGGTGGCTCACACCTGTAATCCCAGCACTTTGGGAGACCAGCCTGGCCAACATGGTGAAACCCCATCTCTACTAAAAACAAAAAATTTAGCCAGGCGTGGTCGTGGGCACCTGTAATCTCAGCTACTTGGGAGGCTGAAGCAGGAGAATCGCTTGAACCTGAGAGGCAGAGGTTACAGAGAGCCAAGAACGTGCCATTGCACTCCAGCCTGGGCAACAAGAATGAAATTCCGTCTCAAAAAATAAATAAATAAATAAACAAACAAAAAATTAAAATTTACTTATATTTTTAAATAGAACAATTCATTCTATCATGCAATTACTATGTAGGTTAACTATATATTACTATAAATCTATCAAATATTATGGAATGTTAGTGGTTTTCTTATACCCTGAAAATTTGCTATTTTATCATACTAGGGAGTATTAGTTCATCGTTTCTTAATCAGTTATTCCCAACTACACCAAAAAAGACTAAAATGACAAGAATATGAAAAAAATGACAAGAATTGCCTAAAATAATGCAATAGTGAAAAAAATTACAGTTACTGTATCATTCTTTGGGTCTTATTGTGTTGCCCAAAGCACTGATCCATCTTTCAAAAAGACATAGAACACCAGAGACTTCATCTTCGTAGTCTTTCTTTTTCAGTCTTCATTTAGCACAGCTGAGAAATCAGAATTTTTCATTTTAACAATGACAAAAGGTAGAAAAGCGACAAAGTAAATGTTTTACATTATTACAAAATCAAAGCTAATGTGAAGGAGACAAATTATAGCAGTCTAGTCTCTAATGATTACAATAAAATAGATGGTACAAGCCAGGATTTACTCACTTCAGTACTACTGATATTCATAACCAGATAATTTGTTGTCGCTGGTGAGGCTGTCTTGGGCATTATAGGATGTTGAACATCATCCCTAAGCTCCACTAGATAACAGCAGCACCTATCCAGTTGTGACAATCAAAAATGTCTCCAGACAAGCTTTATTGCTGTTGACTATTAAAAAAAAAAAAAAGAAAAAAAAAATGTCTTCAAACTTCACCAAATGTCCCCTGGGGGCAAATGTTTGGACACATTTTTGATTGTCTCAAAAATCACTCTCAATTGGAAATCACTGATATAAACAAAATCTCAGACTATCTATCTTGAGATGATATTTTAGATTAATTTTCTGAAAATTAAGAACCAATAAGCGCTGGAAACAGTTTGGCAGTTCCTCAAAAAGTTAAACATAGAATTAGCATTTGATCCAGCAACTCCACTCATAGGTACGTATATACCCATAAAACTGAAAACAAATACTCAAAGTAAGTTTATATACATACATGTTTACACCATCACTATTCACAATAGCCAAAAGGTAGAAACAGTCCAAAATGTCCACCAAAGAATGAATGGATAAACAAATTCTACTATATACACATAAGGGAATATTGTAATATGAAATACTGTTCAGCTATAAAAAGGAATAAAGTACTACTGCACATGTTACAAGTTGGCTGAACCTCAAAATATCACACTATGTAAAAGAAGCCAGGCACAAAAGGTCACATGCTATGTGATTCCATGTATATGAACTATCCAATAAATCCATAGAGACAGAATGCAGACTGGTAGTTATCAGTGGGTGGGGAAGGGAGGAAAATGGAGAAACCACTAAATGGCTAAGAGACTTTTTACGTTGGAACGACAGAAATGTTCTGGAACTAAATTGAGGTGGTAATGGCACACTGTGAATGGACTAAATGGTACTCAACTGTTCACTTTAAAATGGTTAGTTTTATATTATGTTAATTTCCTCTAATAGATGAGTTGTTTAAAGGGTCAATAAGTAAACAATATATTTCTAAAACCAAAAAAGTTACATTCTTATTCAGTTATTTATTCAACAAGGACTTCATCACACAAAATTTTGCAATAAGAACCTGTTTTCTAAAGAGATGTGTGACATATTTTTTCATGTTTTATGATGTTGATATAGTTCACACATGGAAAAAAGCTAAAGTGTACACAAACATGAATAAAAGGAAATGAATAATGTAGAAATTGTAAAAATCATTGGACTAATTCTAAATGGTGCCTATAAATCTAAAAATAAAAACATTTTTCAGTTATGAAGCAAAGATGGCCCTCCTACTGTCATCAGCACCCCCATCCTGAGCATGGCTACACACACAGATCCTTTTTCCTCACATAGTTTGCCACTTATTGGGTTTCAAAATGCAGGGCAAATTTCACAGTACTAAATCATATTGGAGATAGGGACCTGCATTTCGCAGAATTTAGCAGAAAGATTCACAAAGTGAATGCATATGCTTAACATAAAAGGGAATACTTTCAATTCTAGAAATAAAAGCAATAAAAAGGTCGATGGATCTAAACCAAGTTTTTACTGCTATCAAAATGCAGAAGACTCAAAAGCTCATTCATGATAGATATAATTAACTTTATGGAAAATGTTATCAGGCAATATGAATAAAGTGTTTATACCTAACATTATATCATACACACAGTAATATTTAGAATCCTAATTGGTAAAAACAATACAAAAAAGGTATCAGTACTTTCAAAGGTTGATGACTTTCCACTTTTTCTTTCTCTCTTAACGTCTGATTTGAACCTGATATTGTTAGATCATGTCCATGCTGGATTTAAAATAAATCAATTTTTGGCTGGATGCAGTGGTTCACACCTGTAATCCCAGCACTTTGATAAGCCAAGGCGGGAAGATCACTTGAGGTCAGGAGTTCGAGGCCAGCCTGGCCAACATGACAAAACCCCATGTCTACTAAAAATACAAAAATTAGTCGGATGTGGTGGCAGGTGCCTGTAATCCCAGCTACTCAAGAGATTGAGAATTACTTGAACCCGGAAGGTGGAGGTTCCAGTGAGCCAAGATCGAGCCACCACACTCCAACCTGGGTCACAGAACAAGAATCCATCTCAAAAAAAAAAAAAAAATTACTTTTCAGACTGATGCTAAATCCTTTTAAAGCTACTCTATATTTGTTATCTCACTGTATTTCTAATTCCTCTGTTTTCTAATTAGTGCAAAGTAATTAAAACTTCATACTCTCACTGTCTTAAAAACTTTTTTCAAGTGGAAGATCTTGAGTGAGTCAACATTAAACTTAACTATATAAATAGGATTTTGAAAGCAAGATTTCCAAAACTTAGAAGACTGAGAATGGTAGCTGGGTGAGGTGGCTGATGCTTGTATTCCCAGTACTTTGGGAGGCCAAGGCAGGTGGATCGCCTGAGGTCAGGAGTTTGAGACCAGTCTGGCCAACACGGTGAAACCTCATCTCTACTAAAAATATAAAAATTAGCTGGCATGAGGGCAGGCACCTATAAGCCCAGCTAGGCAGGCTAAGGAAAGAATTGCTTGAACCCAGAAGGCGAAGGCTGCAGTGAGCCAAGATCGTGCCACTGCACTCCATCCTGGGCGATAGAGCAAGGCTTAGTCTCGAAAAGAAAAAAAGGAAGAGTGAGAATGGACTCATCATAAATAATCTATTATGGAGTCTCCTAATTTCAGCATTCAAGTAAAACATTTGAGTACAGTCATCCCTTTGTACCTGTGGGGAACTGGTTCTAGGACACCTATATCATGGATACAAAGTTTCTGATACAAACAGCATAGTACCCTATTTGTATATAACCTATGCACATCCTCTTATATGCTTTAAAATTCATTTTTGGCTTACTTATAATAATACAATATAAATATGATACAAATAGTTATACTATATTGTTTAGGAAATAATGAAAAGAAAAATGTCTACACATGTTCAATATAAATGCAACTTCTTTTTTTTTCTTTTTTGAGATAGAGTCTTGCTCTGTTGCCCAGGCTGGAGTGCAGTGGCACGACTCACTGCAACCTATGCCTCCAAGGTTCAAGCGATTCTCCTGCCTCAGCCTCCCCAGTAGATGGGATTACAGGCGCACACTACCATGCCCAGCTAATTTTTGTATTTTTCAATTTTTCGTAGAGATGGCATTTAGCCATGTTGGCCAGGCTGGTCTCAAACTCCTAACCTCAGGTGACCCGCCTGCCTTGGCCTCCTAAAGTGCTGGAATTACAGGCATGAGCCGCTGTGCCTGGCCTAGATGCAACTTTTTTCCAAATTATTTCAATGCGTGGTTGGTTGAATCTACAGATGCAGGACCCACAGCTATGGAGGGATGGCTGCACTATCTTGTATGCTCAAGAAATTTAGCAGTATGCACTGACAGAATTTATAATCTACTGGGACAGGTGGGTAGAAGGAGCTTAACATAAACCCATAAAAAATATGTAAAGTGAAAGGACAGCAGCGTAGAGTGGTAAAGGCTCTCGAACTAGCTGACCTCAATTTGAATCCTGGCTTCACCACCTACTCACTATATGACACTAATTTTTACCTTCTTCTAGACTCTAGACCTCATTTATAAAATGGGAATAATACCTACTTTGCAAGTCTCATGTAAAAATAAGTCCAAAGCGGCCAGGTGCGGTAGCTCATGCCTGTAATCCCAGCACTTTGGGAGGCCAAGGTGGGCAGAACGTCTGAGGTCAGGAGTTTGGGACCACCCTGGCCAACATGGTGTAACCCCGTCTCTACTAAAAATACAAAAATTAGCTGGGCGTGGTGGCAAGCGCCTATAATCCCAGCTACTGGGGAGGCTGAGGCAGGAGAATCGCTTAAACCTGGGAGGCAGAGGTTGCAATGAGCTGAGATCCCACCATTGCATTCCAGCCTGGGCGACAAGAGCGAGGCTTCATCTCAAAAAAAAAAAAAAAAAGTCCAAAGCGACTTATAACGCCTGGAACATCCAAGGTACTCAATAAATGTTGCCATTACATTGTTATCGTTATAATTGTTATTATTATCATTTTAGAACTAGAAGAGATAATTTAATGCAGTTCTCCCATTTCACAAATAAGGTCACCAAAGTAACCCACACAAAATGGAATATGAAATGTCAAACAAAATGAGTGTAACAAACAGGGCATATGACAAGTTCGTAAGCAATAAATCACATGGATATTCAGGCAAGGGTTTCACAGGTGGACACTGAATTATTACATGAACATTATTATAAAATTGAAAATTAAAAAAGCACAATTGCTTCTTGTTACTGAAATAAGAGAACTAGATTAATAATCTCTTCCATTTCTAAAATAACAATAACAACAGCAATAATAACATTTATGGTTTTTTATACATATGGTTCACAAACTACATACTAATAAGCACATAGTTTGTATGGCCAGTATAAAAATAAGGTGAACCTGTCAAAGAGATTAAAATCCAGCTATTTAATTAAAATGGCAATATATTATTTACCAAGCACTTGAGGCAGAAAAAAAACCTCCCAAAGTCAACAGGTGAAGCATCAACAAAAGGTCACAACTTGAAAACTTTCTTCCCTTGGCAAGATTTAGGGACGAATTCAAGACAACATTCAGGCTTTTCACTAATTAGCACTTCACTAAGCACACCTTAACTGTAGTTAATTCAGAACCAATACATATCTTAACTTCTAAACTTGAAACGAGTCAGTTGGTAGCCTTATGTGACAGGAAGGCCATCATTATATTAATCATCTCCACAAAAACTGTGTTCATTTTTTAATTTCAACAGTATCAATGCATGTCTTGCTGCTTTTCTCAAACACATTAAGTCAGCAGCACTAAAAACATACTTGTGACCAGTGAAACAAAATCATTTTCCCACTAAAACTCTACGCTAATTTTTAAACCCTCTCCCCTGCCTTTTCCATAAAATTTTTATCAACTTTTGGTTACCATTTACTTTCACGAGAATTTTTCGTTCAGTCACTAAGTTTATAGAATCGAAGTTTACATGCTTTTTCTTTTGACAGACACAGAGCTGTATCTCCAGGAAAATTAAGTTTCAAGATGTAACACGAGATAGCAGAGTTCTGCTTTACTGAATACAGGAAATGTAATCAATTCACCAACAATTATTCAATTAGGACAATATTGAAAGTAAGTTAACAGGCATAGCAGCACACTTTGTTTTGAAAATATTCAAGGTCAAAAACCAGTGTATCTGCAAGACTTTTGCTTATTTTTTGGAGGGAGTTGAAAACCTAACACTAACAGAAAAAGGATCAAGGCTTACAGGAAGGACAAGTGATAAAACAAACGTCTTCAATGGAAAAGTTAATTCTACTTTCTCTCTCTCTGTCTCTGTCTCTCTCGTTTCCCCGGTCTGCTGTGAAGTTTTTCAAGACAGAAACAACTATGGATGAGCGCAGATAAACAGGCCATAAACAAGGATTCTCTTTACATAGGGAGTAGAGGTTCCCATGATGTGAATTCGGCCAAACTGAAAAGAATGGAGAATGGAGACAACATCCAGACCTGACCCTGCCAGAGACCCCCAACAGCAGGCGAAGAGTATGAAGGAGTCTGGGCTCCTCCCTCGCGGCCCAGGCCTCCAGTGGCAACTCAGCTGGGCAACGTGACTCAGGAAAGCACTGGGCTGGCGGCGGCCTAGCACGGCTGCCTCCCCGGACCTCCCAGGCCTGCTTTCTGGGTCTTACCTGACAGCGGGCGGGAGCCGGATGCCGCGATCTGGACCCTTGTCTTGTCTCTGCGGTGACGCGAAGACAGAGGCAACAGCAGCAGCGGCGCAGACCGGATCCGGCTCTGAGTCCGCGAACCAGCGATGAATCAGCCCGATTCCATTCAAAAGAGTTGCCCGGGCCTCCGCCGCGAAGTACTTCCGGGTTCACTGGTCTGCTTCGGCTTCCGTTCCCCGACGGCCAATTGGAGACGACTAGGACTCAGGCGGGTGTCCTGGAGGAGCGCTCCGGACAGACGGTGCGGGCCGCCGGGCGTCTCCTGTCTTTGCTAGGGTGTGAGGCGGCAGTTAGAGCCCGGGCCTCTCGCGCCCCGCGACGCCTCCTTTTTCTCTCTCCACCTCTGAGCTCTCCGGCCACCGCGGAGATGTAGTACGGCGGCACATCCAGCCCGTGAGGCGACTGGCTGGGAAATGGAACTGTTAGTATTGCGAAGCCCAGATCCCCTTTCGTTTTGGTGTTCACTACTATTAACGGCCCTCCTCAAAAACTAAAAGGTTCGTTTGAACTAGATTTAACTTGGTTATCTGAGAAGAAATTTTTTAAAAAACAGTGGGGATGGTGTGATTAGACGGGGTCGGTAAGACGCTCCTTTCCGTAAGCCCGCTTTATCCCCACCCCTTGTCATTGCTTTGCAAGAATTGGATTTCAAGTAAAACGAATGTTTCCCAAATGTTCAAACCACCTATTTTAAGCCGAATTTAGCTTACGGTGTTTAAAGAATCGTTTATTCACATTTCTCCATGTAATTATCAGCAGTCACGTTTTACTCATGATCTACTTTGTGCTATGTTTTCAAAAAGCAAAATTGCACAGGATATGACTTGACAAGTTGATGTCACATTCTAGGTCTAGGTACAGTCTGTTTAAGGCAGCTTGTTTGCCACATTCCTCTCACTTTCTCAAACGTATTCCAAATAGCCTTCTTTAAAGCACTCCTAAATCAAGAATGGCGAGAATGGGCAGAGGGTGAGGAAAGATTACAGCTCCTGGATCCAAACTGTGATTTGAGTAGCACAATTGCATTGGATTTTTCCTTTAAGATATTCATATCTCTAAAAACACGAAAATTATTTTACTCATAAGTAATATTTGGATCCGCATCTTTATGCTTCCCCCCTAAAACCTATGCCTCACTATTCACTTAATTTTTTTGAGGGGGAGGAGGGGTGAATATCCTCCAAATAATTTTCCTAATCAGAAACTTAAGAATATAAACACTCGCCTCTTTTTCACCTCTCCCCACTGGCCTCCCAATTAACCACTGTAGAAACTATGAAATGTATAAACTTCACAACAGTTTTTCCAATCCACCACTTCCCTTTCTAAATACTCCCACTTTGGCCTTAACTCAGACCTTCGTCACTTATTTTTTATTTTATATTATGTGTGTATTTTTGAATTAGGGTCTTGCTTTGTCACCGAGGCTGGAGTGCGGTGGAACCGTGTCAGTTCACCGCAGCCTCCTCCTCCCCGCGCTCAAGCAGCCCTCCCACTTTAGCCTCCCAAGTAGCTAGGACTACAGGCGCTTGCCACCATGCCCAGCTAATTTTTATTTATATATTTATTTATTTAATAGAGACAGAATTTCACCATGTTCCCCAGGCTACTTTTTAAAAATGTTCTTTGGTCTTTCTGCCTTCAGTCTGCTCCCTTTGAATCCATCCTCCATCTCATTGGCAAAACAGTTTTGTGCTGTACATAGTCATGCTCCTTCTTTACTTAAAATTTCACTAGTGGCTCCCCATAACATTCATTATAAAGGTCAAAAAAAAAAAAAAACCCTTAAACTTTTGTACCTTTGCTCTAGCCATAATAAAATATTTAGCTGGGGAATAAGATGTTCATAGGGCTTTGAAAAACTCTTAACATATTCCTGAGACTGTAGAAGGTACTTAGGGTGTGCACATACCTAGGGTCATGTGAACACTCAAGCCTGAGAAGGCCCTGAGCTCTAACCTCTGGCTGACCTTGAGGCACTACAGAAGCATCTGAGCTCTAAACTCTCACTGACCGTGAGGCACTACAGAAGCAAGAAGTGAAGGCTAAGGCACAATTATTTGGTTGGTTGGTGCCAGAGTAATTGTGGTTTTGTCATTTCAATGCAATTACCTAATATAAAGTGCTTGGCTGATTGTTGAAGGCATCTCTCAACGTAGATACTAAACCCCTCGGAAAAGACTGGGAGATTTTTTGGTTGAAGTTGTTTAAGGAAACCTGTCTCTCTAATCATTAGCTGACCACTAAGCTAACTGAGCAGAAACCTGAGTGGTCACAAAATAAAAATTGCAGACTTTAAAGGAAGAGTTCATAAACTAGGTGCAATGGCACGCATGTGTAGTCCCAGCTACTCAGGAAACGAAGGCCAGAGGATCCCTTGAGTCACCAACTCAGACCTTGTCTCTAAAAAAAAAGAAAAAAGAATGAATTCAGAAAAGTCGCTAAACCAGCAACTACTACAACAAACAGAAACAACAATGAATCTTGGGGAGTGAGTAGAATCTGATTTCCAGAGTTACACATTATAGTATTTAAAATGGTCAGTTTTCAAAATAGTTATGAAACATGCAAAGAAACAAGAATGTATGGCCCATACACAGGATAACAATCAATAGAACCTAACCCTGAGGAAGCCTACATGCTGGACTTAGTAAATAAAAAGTTTTTAAATCAGATATTTTCAATATATTAAAAAGCTAAGGGAAACCATGTCTAAAGAACTAGAAGAAAATATGAGATGTTTCATCAAATAGATGATAAAGATCAATTATATTTTAAAACCCAAATAATTCTGGAGTTGAAAGTATAATATGCTAGGGTGAGTGCGGTGGCTCATGCCTGTAATCCCAGCACTTTGGAAGGCCGAGGCAGATGGATCACCTGAGGTCAGGAGTTTGAGACCAGCCTGACCAACATGGATAAACCCCCATCTCTACTAAAAATACGAAATTAGCTGGGCATGGTGGCGCATGCCTATAACCCCAGCTACTTGGGAGGCTGAGGCAGGAGAATTGCTTCAACCTGGGAGGCAGAGGCTGCAGTGAGCCAAGATTTGCACTCCAGCCTGGGCAACAAGAGCAAAACTGCATCTCAAAACAAAGTGTAATATGCTATAACAGAAACAAAATTTTTTTTTAATTTTTAAAAATAAAAATAGCAAAAAAATAAAGTGAAAATTTCACTAGAGGGGCTCAATCCCAGATTTGAGCAGGGAGAAAAAAAATAAGCAAACTTCAATATAGGTCAGTTGAAATTATCTAGTCTGAGGAACAGATTGAAAAGAGAAAGACAAAACATGAACAAAGCCTCAGAGACCTGTGGGACACAAGCATACCAACATGTGCATATGTGAGTTTCAGAAGGAGAGGGGGAAAAAGAAAAGGGCAGACATAATTCTTGAATAAAGAATGGCAGGGCATGGTGGCTCACACCTGTAATCCCAACACTTTGGGAAGACAAGGCAGGTGGGTCACCTGAGGTCAAGGGTTTGAGACCAGCCTGGCCAACGTGGTGAAACCCTGTCTCTACTAAAAATACAAAAATTAGCCAGGTGTGTTAGTGCGTGCCTGTAATTCCAGCCACTCAGGAGGAGGGAGGAGAATCACTTGAACCTGGGAGGCAGAGGTTGCAGTGAGCTGAGATGATGCCATTGCACTCCAGCCTGGGCAACAGAGCAAGACTGTATCTCAAAAAAAAAAAAAAAAAAAAAAAAAAAGGAAAGAAAAAAGAATGACCAAAAACTCCCAAAATTTAATGAGAAATACTTATCTATACATCCAAGGAGCTCAACAAATGCCAAGTAACATAAACAAATTTATACCTCAACACATTTTAATTAACCGGTCAAAAGTCAAAAGCAAAGAGAAACTCTTGAAAGTGGCAAGAGAGGGCCGGGCTCGGTGGCTCAAGCCTGTAATCCCAGCACTTTGGGAGGCCGAGGCGGGTGGATCACGAGGTCAAGAGATCGAGACCATCCTGGTCAACATGGTGAAACCCCGTCTCTACTAAAAATACAAAAAATCAGCTGGGCATGGTGGTGCGTGCCTGTAATCCCAGCTACTCAGGAGGCTGAGGCAGAAGAATTGCCTGAACCCAGGAGGCGGAGGTTGCGGTGAGCCGAGTGGCAAGAGAGAAGCCACTCATCACATAATCCTCCTTAAGATTCACAGTTGATGCCATAAAAGTCAAAAAGCAGTGGTATGACGTATTCAAAATGCTGAAAGAAAAAGATCAGCAAGTAAGAATTTTGTCTCTAGCAAAACTATCCTTCAAAAATGAAGGAGGTATTAATACTTTCCCAAAATATATGTGTATACAAAGATGAAATTTGTTGCTAGGACATTTTCCTTGCACGAAATACTAAAGGGAGTCCTTCAGAATTAAATCGACATAAATGGTAATTCAAGTCCACATGAAGGAGTAACAACACATGTAAAAGTAACTACATAAGTAAACATAAAAGTCTAAATATTTTTTTATTTGTAACTCTTTTCCTATTTAATTTAAAAGACAACTGCATAAGGCAATAATTATAAGTCTTTATGGGCTTATTGTAAGATATTAATATGACAACAGAAGGGAGAGGAAGGAGGGAAAGAATAATGGAGGAATGAAGCCATGTAGTAGCAAGTTTTTGTGTTCTATTGAAATAAAGTTGTTATTAATCCAAACTAGATTGTTATAACTTGTTAATTATAATCCCCAGAACAACTGCTAAGAAAATGCTTTTAAAATATATGAATAAAGGACAAGAAAATTAAAATGGCACGCTAGAAAATATATACCACACAACAAAGGGCTGCAGTAATTAAGAAATGGAGGAATAAAAAAGACACAGGACATAAAACAAATAGCAAAATGGCAAACGTAAATCCTACCTTATCAGTGTCAACAATCCACTTCAAAGGATTTTCCTTGAAAAAGAAAAAGGTTGGGAGTAGTGGCTCACACCTCAAATCACAGCACTTTGGGAGGCCAAGCCTGGAGGATTGCTTGAGTCCAGGAGTTCAAGACGAGCCTGGGCAACATTGCAAAACTCTATCTCTACTGAAAAATGCAACAAATTAGCTGGATATGGTGGCACCTGCCTGTAGTCCCAGCTGCTCAGGCAGCTGAGGTAGGAGGATCACTTGAGCCCAGGAGGTAAAGTCCGCAGTGAGCCGTAATCATGCCATTGCACTCCCAGCCTTGGTGACACAGTGAAATCCTGTCTCAAGAAAGAAAAAAAAAAAAGATAACTTTATTCCATTGAACAGTTTGCAAACCAAAGCAGTGCAGTCTTTTGTACCAAACAACGATGTGGTCCAAGAAAACAGAAAGATTGTCTGTTTTAGAGAAAGTTCCCACCTGGGTTCCCCCTCTAGTCTGCTATGCAAATGAAGAATGACAGCTTGTTTAGTTTTCATTGGTTGATGCATGTCACAGTCTATCAGTTAGGTCCCTGTGGTGAAATGAGACTTTCTAGCAGTTGTTGATTGAGTCAGTGTAAACAGGAACAGATAGCTATGAATGACCCAAAGTCTC